CACTCGGAAGCCCAGAACACGACAAAGGGCCACAACGCGACACTACAGTCAAGAGAGCGGGGATTAGGGAAAACATGATGCGATAAGATAAGATCGAGGGGAAGATGGGCAAGAACATGAGGAACAACGAAGAAGCCAGCGATCCCTTGCGCTCTGAAAGCAAATGCGCTTCCCGTCCCCGTGCGAAGCAGGTCCAATTGCCCAGACCTGCCCACGAAAAGCGAGGCGTCTCTCTGCTGTGCTCCTGCTCGGCCTCGCGGCTCGCAGGGCGCCCTCTTCGACGTTTTCGCTGGGACGGGCGACTCACCTGCACTTACGCCAGAAAGCGGCGCCACAATGCGAGGCCCAAACATATACACCACCACCACCACCACCACCTCCCTCACCCCATCGCTCTCTCCCAGAGAAGAAGAAAGGAGTAGGAGGTTAGAGGAGGGAGGAGGAATCGACGTGGTGGTGTATTTTCTTGAGGCCCGCACACAATACACCATACGCCAATAGCTCGATTAGCCGGGACTTCCTGCTTCCTGGTCCTCTCGGCGGCAAAAAGTTCGGGATACGTACGGCCGCTCTGGCCTGCCCGCCCCTCGAGGACGTCTCGCCTTCCCTGCCGTGTCGCCGTGCTCCGCCTGCTGCTCCCGGAAGCTGAGACGGACTTCCGTCAGGCAAATCTGTGGCACACGCAGCATGGATTACAGATGCGTCGATCTGGCACGAGGGCGCGAGTGAGGCCAGTGCCGTACGAGTTGGCGACGGGGCGCGGGGATGCTCGTATCGAAACGGGACCCATCGCTGATCCAAACGCCCTACTCCACGTTTGCGTCTCATCGTCGGATGTGGAAGCAGGGCCCCGAACAGGACCGAGCCTGCCGCGGCCGCGGGGGGAGGGCGAAAACACTGCCCTGAGGGCAGTGCGGCCCTCCTCCATCTCCTCTTCCTCTTCCTCTTCCTCCTTCTCCTCCTCCTCCTCCTCCTCCTCCTCCTCCTCCTCCTCCTCCTCCTCCTCCTCCTCCTCCTCCTCCTCCTCCTCCTCCTCCTCCTCCCCACCCCCCCGCCTCCTCCTCCTCCTCCTCCTCCTCCTCTTCCTCCTCCTCCTCCCTCCTCCCTCCTCCTCCTCCTCCTCCTCCTCCTGCTCCTCCTGGCCCGTCCTCCTACCTCCGCCTCCTCCTCCTCCTCCTCCCTCCCCCTCCCCTCCTCCACCTCCCTCCTCCTCCTCCCTCCGGCCTTCCTCCCCCTCAATCACTCCACCCCTCCCCCTCCCACCCCTGCCCACTCTTCCCTCCCCTTCCCCCCATTCCCGGATACCAGCTGGGCGAAGCTGAGGCCATGGCATGGCATGCGCCCAGGAGGGTCGCCAGTACGAGGCAGTACACCATGGCGCTGCGCGCTTCGCAGTTGAGAACCCCAGGGGGGCCCGTCTGACCCGTTTGGCGACTGAGCCCCTTCGGGCGCCGACTGGGCAAACGGACGGGCGAAGGTCCAGCAAGGTGGCGGGAACCGGGGCCCGGTCGTCTGCCGAGCGGGCTCGCTCTGACTCCGCCCCGATCTGCTCGGCGGCAGAGTGGGCTCCAGCGCCAAACCAAATCGGAGGGGAGCCCCAGGGAAGGCACGGATAGAAGGTAATTTCGTGTAGGGGGTGCAAGTGTGACCCTTGGGCCCACGCTGCTGCAGCGAGATCCTCCAATTCACGGCCTTTTCAGGCTTCCCCTGTACCCACCCCACTCACATGCCCTCTGACACGCTCCCCTTACCCACTCTGCTATGCGCTGCTCGTGTGCTTTTTCCCAACCATCCTGTGGTGTTGGGTCCTCGTTTTGAAGAGACGGTCCCCGTGCTCTCTTTCCTCCTCCCTCCTCCCTCCTTCCCCTCCTCCCTTCTCCCTGCGCTTCACCCTCCCAGTACAGCGCTTCGTGGTCCCATAGGCAGCTCCACCGAAGGCCCCAGTGCTACCGTCCACATGCATCCCCCACACCCATGTCGGCACACCCCTCACACGCTTCGTGGCCACATAGGGAGCTCCACCGAAGGCCCCAGTGCCACCGTCCACATGCGTCCCAAAAACCCATGTCGGCACACCCCTCACACGCTTCGTGGCCCCATAGGGAGCTCCACCGAAGGCCCCCGCGCCACCGTCCACATGCGTCCCCCGCACCCATTTCGACACACCCCTCACACGCTTCGTGGCCGCATAGGGAGCGCCAACGAAGAAGATATTAACAATCGCCGTACGAACAACTGCATATGGTTGGGTCCTTCGCCAGACTAATTTCTTATCGTGTCATTCGTCTCTTGTCGTATCAACCATCGCCACTGGCCGTGGCATATTACATTGTGCACCGCTGTCTTATTGTACTGTATACGTTGGCAATGTCATAATCGTCGCCCTTGCCGTGACAGCTAACAGCCCATACCCTCCCTGTTCCCATGTATAAACATGTGTACTTTCATAGAGAGGGAGGGGGAACAAGAAAATTATCCTGGCGAAGGACCCAACCAGATGCAGTTACGAATACCGCAATTGTGAGTATCTTCTTCGATGGCGCTGTAGGGGTGTGCGGAAATTTGTGCGGTGGCCACGAAACGTGTGAGGGGTGTGCCGAAATCTGCGCGGTGGGCGCATGGGAGCGCAGCAACTGGGGCCTTCGCTGGGGCTCCCTATGGGGCCACGAAACGTGTGGGTGCGATGGGCGCATGGGAGCGCAGCCACTGGGGCCTTCGCTGGAGCTCCCTATGAGGCCACGAAGCGTGTGAGGGGTGTGCCGAAATGGGTGCGGCGGGCGCATGGGAGCGCAGCCACTGGGGCCTTCTGTGGAGCTCCCTATGGGGCCACGAAGCGTGTGACGGGTGTGCCGAAGTGGGTGCGGTGGGCGCATGGGAGCGCAGCCACTGGGGCCTTCTGTGGAGCTCCCTATGGGGCCACGAAGCGTGTGAGGGGTGTGCCGAAATGGGCGCGGTGGGCGCATGGGAGCGCAGCCACTGGGGCCTTCGCTGGAGCTCCCCATGGGGCCACGAAACGTGTGATGGGTGTGCCGAAATGGGTGCGGCGGGCGCATGGGAGC